AAAAAACAAAGGTGATGAATACTAACCTGTTGATTCTGTGTCATTTATTATTGTGTAAACAAAGACATTTTTCAAGTTGTACCACAGCAGTAAATACCACTTGTAGGCAATCATTCTCAAATGACTGAGATTGGTGCCGTTTTTCCCTGCAGTCTAAACCCTTTTGGCCCCAGTGTCTCTGAAGATGTAAGAGAAGCAAGTATAAAACATAACATAATTTATGTCACATGATGATTGTTTTTCAGACATTTACAGCTATTACAAAAGCTGATATGCCGCTCGCATCCTTGTAAACAGTTCACAGGAACAATCGTCTTTGATTCCAGTAGACAAAGCATCTTCATCTGCAAGTCTTGATTGCACTGTTGTTCATAAGATGATAAGAATGTCTCCAGCAGTAATGAATCCCTGTGAGTTATTGTTTACAAGTGATAGATGTATTCCTCTTGCTTCCTGGCTCCTGGGGATGTCCAAGCTTCGCATCTGTTTCTCGGTAAAGAAGACAGTTTAATGACTTGTGGAGGAGTCACTTTTTTTTTTTCATTTAAAATCGAGTTTCTGCTTTTTCCCCACCTTTGTTTTCCATAAGCCTGTTGCCCAGAGAACCTTGAAAAAGAGCTAAAATATCAAACTATGAAATTTGTAGCTTGGACTGATTTGACACACACAGATTCACGCTCACACACAAAAACATTTCCAATCTTTCAAAGACTTTGCTAGCTGGCTTGAAAATGATCTGATATTTTCCAGTCATTTGTATGCACGTAGCCAGTTGTATGATTGTCATCCTAACAATGCTTCTCTCCAGTGAGTATCATCAACATGCCAGTTGCCTGGGTGCCAATTTTAATTATTTTTTTTTTTACGTGTGGTTTTCCAGACTGTCTTGTATGGCCCTCTTCAGGCTGAGGGCTTTGTTCCATCCGTGCACTCCAAGCTTGGAGACCTCTCATACCACTGTTCTTGGCTCAGTGATTGTATGTTTTCACAGAGAGCTTACACTTATGGTCATTCAGGACCTTGGCAAATAGCAGGTTCGTTTTAGCATGGACTTCTATTCCATGGGGTATTATTGCCTGATAGGTTGTTCTATGCCAAGAAGGGCTTTTCGAAGTGGAGAAGGTCATTGGTTATGACAGGTTACAGGAGATACTGTGTCTAAGTGTCCATTATAATAAGATATCTATGAATAGAAAATAGCTTTGTAAGATATCTTGCCTGTAACATCCACAGACAGCCAGGCATTATGATGTGTATGAATATCACACGTGCCATTTCACATGATAACTTTTTGCTGAGATGAACGAGGCTGGCTCCTTACCTTTAATGCAATGTCATGATAGCACGTTGGCAGTTTTGTGGTTGATAATGTTTTTTTGTTTTTTTTTGCATACGTTTAGTTTACGCCTGTAAGTTCAGTGTACAATGTTGCATTTAATGGAATCTAGTCAAATGACATTTACTTGATTTGGATACATTCACTTGATACCGAGCATCTTTTTCCTAATGATTAGATATTTGAATACATTTTTTAAGTCCAGAGAATTTAAAAAAAGAGTTTATTTTAGTAATGTGTAGATTTCATCGTTTAAATTGTGTATTTCTTAATGTAGAGTTTGCTTGATTAACTTTTTTGGGGCTGATCGTAAAAGCCAGGCTAAATGAAAGTCAGAACACTCACTGATAGTGTAATGTGCTCCCTGTAGGATGGTGTGGTAATAAAGAATATCTCTGTGAGAAAAGTTAAACACCCAATTAGGAGGGTTTTTTTCATGCTCTAATTGTTTGATTAAATAAGGTTGATTAAAATAACCTAAAATTAAATTTTATTGCTCTTAAGAGACATTTGATCCCAAAGAAATGTGCATTTTCCCTTGGGCTTTCATAATGGTCGCAGATAAAAGAATATGTATGTGTTTTAACCGTTGTTTAAACCTAAATACTCAGCATCTTCATCGTATACTTGCTTCATCTGTGTCTCGTGTTTAAAAGAAAGAAATAGATAGAACGTCACTCGCCTATTTGCTTTTCCCTTAAGGCTGCAAAGTATAAACTGAGACATAAAAGAACAAAACCCACACTGTTCGTCTTTGAACATCAAAGATGAATCCGTTTGATGTTCATATTTAGCTCCAAATTCCAATTTTGCCATGCCTTGTGGACCTTCTAACTGTGTTTTTCTTTTTAATGGTTAATTAAATATTTTAAAAATGTTTGCTAAAAGACAGTGAACTGCATCTTTTCTCCAGGTTTTAGTCGTGTATATACTGTCATTCCACTAAGCTATACTGCGTATGCAGTTCGTGGGAACTTTAGTTGAACTGGTTTCCTTCCTTCTGAAAAGGTTTAGATTTATTTTCTTATTGTTAACTATCATGGGAATTCAAAACCACCAACTTCACGCTTTGGATGAAAATAGTCTGCTGCTTAAAATGACATCCTAAAATTTGACAATATCATATTAATTATTTATATTAGTCTGCTTTTTGTTATTTTGTTTTTCTGCCTTCTGTGCGCACCTATGGACTGATAAATGGCCAAATGACATGATACGACTGCCTCAGTGTTTGTATTTGATATTAAAAAAGTGTTGTGTTCTCATCAGAAAAACAGTTATTTTGGCCGAAGTCATGAAATCTCCAATCACAGTCTTTTTGTCCTGTTTGGGTGGAGTGGAAACCAGCTGTTCATGCAACCTTTTAAATGGAAACAGTGAAATAATGTGAAAAATGTACAGAGGTCTATTGTTCATTCATCTGGTGTGATGTCATGTGATTCATGACTCTAGATTTAGCATGCACTCTATATTAACTCTGCTTTTGGTCTCTAACAACTGCTCTCTTGATGTTCAGTACTCACCAGGAAGGGTACAGCAAATTATTAAAGCTTAACCTGACTGTTGTGGCTGAAAACAGTGTTAGGACCTCACTCTTTGCAGAGGGAGGATTAATATTAATTTAGTAATTAATATTAATAAAATAGCTGGATATTTTGCTAGAAAACACATTATAATTTCTTGAGAAAAAAACATGTATACACCAGTAATATAGTAGATTGGACTTTAAGGGTTAA